GTGGGTGGGTGGGGAGCTGGGAAACAGGAGGGGGCTGGAAAGGGAGCAGTTGAGTCACCCTGAGCAGTGTTTCTGTGAGCACTGCCCCAGACTCACACCGCTGCTGGTGGCAGGCAGGGATGGGGAGCAAACAGACCCCAGCCCTACCTACAAAAGGTTGCAAGTGTCAGGCACAAACTTTTCCACTACTTAAGCTGATGGGGATGCCAGCTCCAGGGAAAAACACAAACAGGCAGGAAAAAAAATCATTACCCTACTCCAAACTTGGCGGAGTACAGCCATTAGCTTTTACATGAGCTAACAAAAGAAACATCCTGACGTTACCGTCACGAAAACGTAGCGCACACACAGAAGTAACTTCAATATGTTTAATTTGGATTCAAGTTACTTGCATAAAACCGTGCATAAAAACCACTGCGATGTCCAAAAGCAAATGCTTTCCCTTCAGCCAAGCTCACAGCAACAGATTTACAGTGAAAGCAGCTTTCCAAAATGCCATCTAGCCCTTTCACAGAACTGAACTTTTTCATAAATAAAAATTAAAATCACTTCCAAATTACACCCTTTCCAGTATTCCCAGTTGATTGTGGATACATACCCCCCACAATAAAACCCAGAGATAATCAGTTTCCCATGTGTCAGAGAACGAGCTACTTTTCTTAAAGACTACAAGCAACATTTTTTTTTCCCTAAATACCAGTGAATAAAAACTATTTGAGACCATAAGCCATTAACAGAAAACATATGCAGCCTTTGCTGAAAGGGTTGTCAAGCACTGGAAGAGGCTGCCCAGGGAAGTGGTTGAGTCACCATCCCTTGAGGTATTTAAAAGCCATGTAGATGTGGCACTTGGGGACATGGTTTAGTGGTGGGCTTGGCAGTGCTGGGTTTACAGTTGGCCTCAGTCTTAGAGGGTTTTTTCCAACATAAATGACTCTACAATTGAAAATTATAGATTCAAGTAGTCTTTAAAACGAATGCAGGATATTCCTGTGCAGTTACAGGACCCCACAAAAAAGTCCTTGCTACTGATGTTGTGATGTTCTTTGTATTCCCTACGTTGCACTCAGGGGTTCAAGTTGCTGCCCTGCCTCATGTATTTGATTCTAATATTTTATAAATGCATTTGCTTCATATTGAACACGTGCCAAGTCCCATCCATGGCAGCCAGGGGGACTGAGGCAGACACTCAGGGCTCTGTGCTGAACTGAGGCTCTGAGTTCTCCACTGGGACACTCTCACCTGAAAAGCCACCATAACCAAAGACTCGTTGTTTCATTTAAATATGTAGAAATTGTGCTGAATCAGTGCCTCATCAAACCTGCTGGCTATAGCCCAGGACATCTCCTCTGAGGATAAAAATTCAGGACTTGGTTCAATAAACAGGGCAGGACAGTGCCCTTTGCAGGCCTGAGACGGAGCGAGAGCACTGTGCATTCCCAAAAGATTTCAGGGCATTATTTTCCCATGCCACAAAAACCAGAGGGACTCCCCAACTTCCCCCACTCAACTCCTCTTATTTTATAGTGCAAGTGTCTGCAAAGGTTGGAAGGGCTGCAGGAGGTGCTGCCCAGCCAGGGACGTGGCTCTGAAGGGCTGCATCCCAAGGAAGACGTGTTGAGGGAGGCATCCAGACTGCTACCTGTTTTTGAGGGCACAAAACATGTTTATACAATGACATATTTGCAATAACCAGTGTCATTCAGGACGCTGGTCTGCCTTAAACTTTGCCCTTCCCAGGCCCCTTGCTTGGAGCACCAAGGAGGATGGAACTGGGTCTCCTTTGCAGCATCACCACAGGTAACACTGGGAGGGGGCAAGGCCGTGAGATCAGCTCTATTTATGCCCCTGGTACAAATGTCTGGCCAGCTCAGGCCCTCAGCTCTTCATACTTCTGCTCTTAATCATTTGGCAACTTTCACAGCACTGTCTGGAAGGTGTTTACTTCTGTGCAACCCTAGGAAAACAGAACTAGGCAGAATAATCTTTTCACTGATTTTTCTACATTTTGTTTTGGTCAGAAGACAAACCAAAATACAGATTTAATTTTTTATTATTATTATTTTATTTTTTTTTTCCCCCAGAATGCGAAGTTCCAGAATCTCTGTCTGGAATTAACTACAACACTTTTCAATACCTCCAAGGAAAAAAAAATGTTTTATTTCAAAATATTATCACTTCTCATGCCCTTCTGTAACCCCAAAGCATCATTTCTGAAACAGTGTTTTTAAAATAAATAGTAAAAAAAGGTTACATAAATTGAGCATTTTCTGTAGAACGAGTTTTTAGTCAAAGTCTGAAGCTTCACTGATAACAAAATACAGTGAAGGACTTTAGACCAGTCCTAATCAAGGCAGTGAAGCATACATGATTGATAGCATGAACAGACTTTAAGTCCAGGGAAGAATAAAAAAAGAAAGAAAAAGAATAAAAGAAAAAAGAAATGTTCATTCCTACATATATGAACTTTTCTGTTGTTGTTGAATGTACACTGGAAGCCAACTACAGTAAGAACCAAGAGAATTTGGTAGCCCAGCTATCAGACAGGATTTTCAGACTCTTTGGTGTGAGTGTGACACATTCATTGTGTATTTTCAGAACAGCTGGGCTGAGGGAAAACCAAACATCCCCCTCCAGCTGCAGCAGGACCTGAAGGTGAGTGGCCACATCCTCCACCTGCTGAAATGGCCTCATGGTTATGAGCCTTAATGAGCTGCTCTCCCTCTGTAGAACATCAGGGCAAGTCAGTGCCCACCTCTGGCATGTCCCAAGCTCACAGACAGATGTCAGAGACAGGATCTGCAATCCCAAACTTCTTGAGGCCAATGGGAATCCTGCCAATGACCTCAAAGCTAAGGGCTCTGTCAATAAATGTTAAGGATTTATGAGCAAAAACCTTAATGACCCCAAGGAAAACAATGTCCTTAAGAAATCTTCATTTTTCACAAAGTACACATTGTTAAAACCTTCTCACTTCCCATACAAAGGATGGCAGGTACCAGCTCCAGCACACGGAGAGCAAAAAAAGGAAAAGTTTTTTGTTTTGTGCTGCGTGTGCCGGTGTGTTCCTGTGTTCCCACACTTCCCAGCTACTGATATACAGGGATTTTTCTTCCCTCAAACTGTGACAATAAAATGATTACCCCGCCACAGTTTAGCATAATGGTTCAGAAATGCTCATGGCATATTGCAGAGTTAAAGTGGAAATTATTAGGTAGCTCTTCTTTGTTATAATAATGATCACTCCACAAATAAAAGCTCTTCTCCCAAAGGTACTGCAAGGCACAAAATGCTAATTCTGAAGATTATGTGTGCGCTTTTATTAAATATTACTCTGCC